GAGCTAAGGGGAGAATTTGATGAAGTGCATCTAGATTTTTAATTGGCAGATAAAAGAAGGAACAAGCACGAGTAATTTCCAGTGATTGAAAGATTTTTTGAATCTAATGAGATTCTAAACACCTTGCAATATTTTAGACGATTAAAGCATATGGTGCAAGTTGTTTGGTTCCATTTAGCAATCAAATATACTGAAATTGCAGAGAATTTCTATATATGTTAATTGGTGGCCAGGAATTATTAAGACTTCTCTATATTTTATATATGTTCTAATGAGATAACTGCCATACCATTGACTGTGGTTGAGGGAGAGGAGTACTCTGCTTATTTGCAAAACTTTTACAGACACTCAGATCAGCCTACATATAATAATTCTCAATCTTTATGCAGCTGTCTATTGGGCTTTTCTTTCAGGACATACTCCATGTCATGGAATTTCTCTTAAACATTTTGCCTTTGCATTTGTCTTTGATGTCACTCTTCAGTCTAGCATGTATGCACTGACGCTTCTTTGAAACAGTTCAAAGCTGATCCAATGAAAATTGTTGTATCAGTTGTGACTCATTGAATAGCACCCTAACTTCTGAGTCAGAAAATTGAAGGTTTGAGTCCCCCATTCAGACTTGAGTATACAAATTGAAGCTGACTTCCAGTGCTGTGCCAAAGGAGTGCTGTAGCCTGAGGTGTCATCCTTTGAATGAAATGTTCACCTGAAGCTCTATCTGCTCTTTCAAAAAGCACATGGTACGAGTTATACTCCATAAATGGGTGATTAAATATCCCTCAATCAACGTCACAAAATCTGTCCACAATCAGATTGCTATTTGAGGATACTTACAATGCACATATTTTCTGCTTTATTTCTTCCTTTACAACATTGACCAAGGTTTTAAAGTGCTCACTTGGTTGCAAAGTGCTTCAAAACAATCTGTGGTTATGAAAATCTTTCTCCTTTTCAAAAAAAATGTGGAATGTTGGCCTGCATTCTATTTCTCATCTCTACTTGCTTTTGATAAGGTCGTAGTGAGCTACATTCTTGAACAGCTGAAGTCCTTTTGCTGCAGTAGACCCACAGTGCTATTAGGAATGGAGTTCCACCATTCTGTCACCATTACCTTAAATCTTCTTTTGCATCAAATGTTTATCTATGTACAGATAGTAATGTGCATTCATAAAGGTGTTAGCTGTACAACATTGACAATGAGTGCACTAGTTTGTACAAATTTCCAGAAGCAGCCACAATCCAATGTCAAAAGTAAGATACTGTGCACACCTTTATCTGCTGCACTTTGTGAAATCATAGAGCCATACAGCATGGTCCAACTGGTCCATGCCGACCATGTTCCCAAAGCAAACAAGTTCCACTTGCCAGTGTTTGTCCCATTATCCCTCCAAACCTTTCTTATTCACGTACTTATCTAAAAATCAAAGGAAAGTCAGTAGTGTTAACTTAATTACAGGTTCTACCTCCCTAATCTGGCACTCTCTGGTCCGCAACCTCTAGCCTGAACTTCAGATTTCCCTGTACTGTAATCTACTGGCTATTTTATTTATTTTAATTTTTGTTACATTGTGTCCAGTCTGGATACCCTTAATCCTGTTTTGGTATCCTGTCGAAAAATCATTCATCCATTAGGCATGTGATTGATACAAGTAAAGATGAGGTATTTAATTTTTTAAGGTTTGTGCATTGATGATACTAATCCTCCCGTGGTCCCTCATTTTCCTTGTTAAGTCAGATATCCAGTCCTGAAATTGCTGGATGAGG